TATATATATTTTTTTTTTTTTTTTGGACCTTCTTTGGTACTTGCACGGCCAGGCCCCCTCGACAAACAGGGTGACCCAGGTGGACCGACATGCAGCCTACTGTTTTTGCACTCTGCGAAAACGACGAGAAAAAGAAAGCCTTCCTCCCTCCTATCGCCCCGTCCACGCCACTCTCCTTCCACCGGCTACGCAGTTCCCCCTCGGCCCCGCCTTTCCCCTCACAGTGAAAGCTCGCCATCGATCCCCTCTTGCCGCCTTTGCCCCCCCCAATCAAGAAGTCATTTCAAGCATCCAACCTGTGAGCACTGAGCGGGAAAGGYTTGTCTATGTACCTCACCTACAATGCTGGCACGGGTCCTTTCGAGAAATCCTTTCTAGCCTAACAGGGGTCCAATATCGAATAATGCACGGAAGGCTTGTCTATGCATCCCACCTCAGTGTCAGACTCCAACTACTTTCTAAATAAAAATGACATTTGTGTCCAACATTTTATAAAATAAACATTTTATTTGCTTTGCGCCAGACAATGTTGAACGGATGTTATTATGGTTTGAGTTATTTTATTTTTTCGTCTAACGATTTTTCTGATTTTCTTTCCATTTTCCCTGTCTCCACCTCCTTACTCTAGTTGTCAAGGGTTGTGCTTAGTGTTTCCACCTTCACTTCCAAATTCCCCCGCTCAATCTTTGTCTTTTCTATCTCAGCTTTCAAACTTTCCACCTCCTTCTCCATCCTTGTCCACTGCATATCCTTTTTCTCTTCCCTTGCTCTTAATCTTTGAATCTCCTTCAAAATTTCAGGAACATGGCTTGCCACCCCTTGCGTGAGCAATTCTGTCTTCTCCCTTATCCTGTCTTGGAGTTCCTGAATGAGGATCTCCAATTCTCTTCTCTTTCCTTCCTCCATCTTTTCTAACTTATCGGCCACTTCAGCTTCCCCTTCATGGAACCATTCACAATCTTCCCTAAGCATTTCATGTAAACGGATTAATAGGTTTACATCAGAAGTCAATTTGGAACTGACCACAATTTCAGAGAGTAGTATCTTTTCCAGTTTCACGCTCCAGGGCGCGTCTGAAGGCAACTCCTTTTCTTTTAACAAGGTCACAGCTTGATTCCTCCATTCCTTGTTGTTTTCCTCTCTCTTCTGCCTCTCTTTCTCTGTCAATCTCGTTGAACCTTGTTCCTTTGGAGGTTCCCTCGAGGTAGCTGTTTCAACATTTTCTGACGGTCCAGCCTCTTCGACTTTCTTCTCATCCTTTTCCTTTCCTTTTCCTTCTTTCATTTTCTCTCCTCCCTTCTTCACCTTTCGAGGCATGCCACTGCCTTTCATTTCATTCTCGATGCGCTCCTCCATTGAGCCACTTCCACCTTGAGCCCTAGCCTCGTCACCCTCCTGTTGAGGAGATGTGTCGCCTCCTTTATTATCTTTCTAAGTTTTTTTTCTCATCCTTTCTTCTCTCTTGTCAATCCACAATCCCTGTTCCTGAAGTAGTTGTTTCTTCTTTTGTTGTTGTACCTCCAAGGGATAAGCCTTTCTCATCTTGACAAGGAAACCTTCCCAGGTATTCGATTCCTCCCTGACCTTTTTCACTGCCTCATATTCCCTTGACGCTATTTTCTTCATCGGTTGTTCTAACTTCTTCTTTTCACCCCACCTTCTTTTTTCTGCACAAAGGTTGATACTGTCCTCGAAGTCCTCCAAGTTTGTACCATCGAGGATGACATCATCTTCGATCTCATCTCTCGTCAAATCGTCATACTTAGCCCACATTTCAGCCTTGAAGGTCATCCACCAGATAGTCGGAGGCAATCTCATCTATTACGTCGTTGCACTTTCCCAATCCTGCCACCTTCTGCAACATGACCTGAGTGTCTCACTCCCTATTGAAGGCATATTCTTCAAACTCCCTTATGAATACCCTCAAATTGTCCCGGACCCTTTTTTGTAGATCGACATCCCTTGGGAATCCTTTGTTACCTGYTGCATCCTCTTTCGTYCTTCTCTCCYAGGAGTTGTCCTCGAAGGACCCGCCACCCCTCCCTTCTGTGACAWGGYTGCCTGCTTCACGGGTCACGCCTGCACACAGAAAAASAAAAGGGAGTGGCAGATAACAGGCCGAGTCAGCAGTCRGTTAACAATATAATATTCGCAAAGGAAATGCCATGACAAGTTCCTACAAGATCATCASGTTTTTCCTTTCCAACTTTTATCAACTCACCTCTTGTCTCATCTTGAATTTCTTCAGCCTAGATCCTGAGATCCAATCTTTCCTTGGTGTTCCATCCATTTCTTCAAGCTTATGGGCTCCATGATTTCCTCGGCGTCTGACTCTGAAGGGTCCCAACCATCTTTTGTACAGTTTCCTTGACCATTGTTTTTCAAGTACGGAGTCATACAATAGCACTATATCTCCGATCTCCAATAGTTCTTCTTGTACGCGCGAAGATTTATCCCATCTTTTTTTGTCCTTCCCACGACTGTCAACCACTCTCTCCGCTGCTTCCTGAATCCTTTCTTCTGTGATATTGACTTGCCTAGCTCTGATGTCAAGTAAGTCCTCAAGAGGCAGGTCATTTTCAAGATCCTGTCTTCGCCAAGTCTTCAAGAAACTTTCTATCGAAAAAGTGGCGTGTCTTCCATACCACAAGGTTGCAGGGGTATAACCTGTGGTTCTCGTGACCGTGATGTTCTCGACAAAGAACACTGTTCGCAGGAACTTCGGCCACAGGTTTGGCTTCCCAGCTGTCCACTTTGCTAGCAAATTAGTGATAGAACTGTGTCCCATTTTAAGAGATGTATTTGCCTGAGGATGTGCCCTGGTCGTATACTTGGCAATAACTCCAAGATCGTCAAACAGTTCCTTCACTTCTCCACACGTAAACTCAGATCCCTTGTTCATTCTAAACTCCACCACGAAAGGATATCGGAGGTAATACTCTTTGATGCATTCGGCCAAGACTGCTCCAGTCTTGGTCCGGATGACCTTTCCATCAACAAATTCTGTAAGATTATCTCGGACATTAAAGATATAATTATAACCTTCAAGTCCCAATAGCATTGCCAGGAGATCCAGGTGGATCACTGCCCCTACATCCTTCATATACCTTGGATGTAGAGGTTTCTTGTATTTGATTGGAGACCTGATTTGGCAATGGACGCACAACTTGCAGTACTTTCGAATCATCCCGTACATACCCTCCCAAAAGTACAGTTCGATCACCTTCTTGATGGTAGTGACAAAATTCTTGTGACCACCTACGGGTCCGTCA